ATAGTTGCCTATATTAGCTAGTTCACATTTTTCTAAATTTGGTTTTAAACCGCTGATTTTCCCATAGCATTGTAAATGTCCAAGTACAGTTTTTAGTTCAGTAAGGGTTTTGTTTAGAAAAAGAGTGGTGTCATCCACGAATTGCGAAACTTTTTTCATGGTTATTAAATATTCTGAGTCCTTTGTAAAGTGGGTCATTGCGTAAGACTGAAGCTAAAATTTCTGCACATAGAAAAAATAGGTGAGAAGAGAGGGGGCAACCCTGTCTCACACCCCTTTGTATTTGAAAGGGTGCGGTGGACCATCCGTTGTTTACAACATTACTATTGATTTCGTTGTATAATATTCTTATCCATTTTTTGAAGCTTTTGCCAAAAACCAAAGAAATCAAGAGTTTTGTCAATAAAATCCCATTCTAAAGAGTCAAATGCTTTTTCAAAATCAATTTGAAAAAGAATAGCCTCTTTATTGTTTTCTTCAAGGTAGTTTAGAATATCAAAAATAGTTCTAATATTTTCTCCTATATATCTATCTTTAAGAAATCCCTTTTGGTCGTCATGGATAATATTATTGATTACTTTCTTAAGTCTGTTAGCTATCACTTTTGATAAAATTTTATAGTCACAGTTTAATAGGCTTATAGGGCGCCAGTTTTTTTTTAATATTAACTTTGTGTCTTTATCTGATTTTGGGAGAAGTGTGATAATTCCATGTCTTTGAGATACACTCATTTTATTTACATGAAAAGCTTGATTAAAAGAATTCAACAAAAGTTGTGCATATTTGACCTTACATTTATGATTATTTAATTTTAACTTTAACCATATAAGACTATGATCTGTTTTATATCCATGCGATATATTACAAGATGAGATCATATTTGTTTAGTCATTGAGTGTGATAAACATATCTAACCTACAACGCACTACCGGTTTGTTTCTTTTCCACGTAAAACCTTTTCTGTGTGGATTTAGCGTTCTATCGTCATTTAATTCGTAGTAATGTATATTATCTAGCATTACCTGTCTTGATTTTTCATTTGTTTTTGGTTGCCCACCATATTTGTCAAGAGTTAGGTCCATAACAAGGTTAAAGTCTCCCCCTAATAAAACTGGGCATTCAGTGTCCCTAAACAATGTTTCAAAAATATCCTGGAAAAATTCTGGGCTATCATGATTAGGTGCATATATATGTGAAATTATAAAATATCTATTTTCTATCATAATATTAAGACATAAATATCTTCCAGCTATTTCTTTTTTGATTTCTATACTTGCTATTGGTATGTTTTGGAATAAAATGGCCACTCCTGCACTATTATTTCTGTAGTTTGAAAAGTAACAAGAGCCTGACCATTCTGTCGAACATTTCTTTTCATCACTCTCTATAGAATATGTTTCTTGTAATAGTATGATGTTATAATGTTGTAGTTTCAGCCAATGAAAAATTTCCTCTCTCTTTTTTCTAGCTCTAAGGCCCCTAAAGTTAAGTAATGCGATACTGGTAACTGTCATTAATTAGTTTTGATTTCAGTATAATTAGTGTCATTACAAATGGTACAAGGTAATCGTTTCTACGAGAGAGAGGTTTACTATACTCTATGAAAGTGACAAATCTTATTGTATTAATTCTACTTATATGAGGTTCTATCAAAAAACTTGATATGTTTATGTTAACATTCGGTTTGATATGCAATATAACTAAGTTAAAACATACTGAATAGTAAAGTGAAAACATAACGTAACATAAATAATTGATAATAAGATAATAAAATAAACAGAAAATAAAGAGTCTGCAAATTAAGGTTGTGCAGATTTTCATTGTTCTTATGATATTCATATTGCCTGTGATTGAAGTTTCTATTCACGTTTGCATAGTTTGGCTTTTATAAAATTACACCTTTGTGTATTGTCCCATAAAACAAAGTTTGTGTATGGAGCTACTATCTAGTGCATTAATTCGTTTATAATATAAGAAAAGAGACTTTGACAAATTAGTATTCATCTCACAGCACGGTCAAACCTGGCTTGGAGAATTTCATAATAGACATAGTCAGAATTTCTTATCCATGTTTTAACTTTACCGAACTTTAGTTTCGTTAAGGTTAATTTGACGAATGTTCAAGACTCTGGTCGTTTGACCCAATGACGTCTATGTCATTTATTAGACCCAACTGTGAAGTGGCAATACTAAACATATAAAGTAATTTAAAAAAAAAAAAAGAAACGAATGTTGGGTCTTATTTTAATTTGACTGAACTTTACCTTAGGCTTACATACACATTCAACAGTTAAAGAAAGGTTATCATTTCATTACAGGTAATCATGACACTACCGTATACAACATCAAAGAAACACAACTATTTCATAGCGGAGCCTATGGGTCAAAAACCAATCACCGCCATACCAGGGCTTGGGCAGATTCTTGGACAAAGATTGGCGGATGCTGGCTATCATTATGTGAGGAACATACCAGTAACCTATTCAATATTTAAGTGCATTTTGATACAAAGGGAAACTATAACTACTACTAACTAGTAGTAGTTCTGCTGTGCATCGGCTTAGCCATAAACACACTTCGTGTCATTTTTTAACCATTCCCTATGATTAAGAATTGAAGAGGTATATTGTCGTCACCCATATCCGTCCGTCTGTCCGTTCGTCAGAAAAAATCGAAAAATATTTAGTATGAGTATGCCTTTGTTTTTGAAAACGCGTTCAATTTTTAGCTCTTGAAGGCAACAACAGATTTTGATGAAACTTGGTGTGAATGTTTGTTATTACAAGGATGACCAAAATGGAAAAAAATATTTAGCATGAGTTATTGCCCTTGTTCTTGAAAACTTGTTCAATTCTGAGCTCGTAAGGCACAATTCTTGACAGATTTTGAGGAATTTTGCTGTGAGTGTTTATCACCCAAGGACGAACTCTATAGAAAATCAGAAGGTTCGAAAATTATTAAGTCGGAATTATTGCCCTTGTTTCTGTCAACGTATTCAATTTGTAGTTCGTCAACACTATAGAAGGCACAATTCTTGACAGATTTGTACGAAATTTAGTCAAATTGTCTATTATTACCCATGGATGAACCCTATTGAGAATGTTATTGACTTTGTTCTTGAAAACGACTCCAATTTTTAGCTCTTAAACACTAAAAGGCACGATTCTATCCAGATTTGGAAATTTTGGACAAAATTTGGTAATATTATTCAGTCACTAAAAGTTCAAAAGAAGTCTATGACTGAAGGTTGAATGTTTTATACTGGTCATTGTCACTGTACTGCAAAATATTTTTATTCAAAATCAGAGCTGCCAGTGGGCATATATTAAATTGCCTGGCCAGCTATCTCATATAGTGAAAGAGTTATCTGTGACGCCCCCCTTTAAATTACGAAAATAAACAGCATATTTAGATCGTAAACAATGTAAATAGTAGTCAAATGAGTAGTCGCGATTAACAAATTGGCGGTATTGATTCAACACACGCATAGTAAAAAAGTCCTACCTATAAAATATTGTATCCTTAACAAATGAGAATACATCGATAAGCGATAATTATTTGCAGTATTTATACCAATACCGGTGAGAAATTAACAAAATTTCTGTCGAAATAAAGGCTAATATGCTAGAATATGCTTGTTAAAGTAAAATAATCCTTATAAACATTCCGAAACACGGAAAAGTGGAAAATGAAATTAAATGAAATGGAGTTTTACGTCCGTCGAGAAGGTAAATTGTTGACGGGCAACGCCATAAAAAGGGTGCAATGAAGGAAATTTCGCCAGGACAATGGCATTTGCCTACTCTTATTATCAATTTTCAACTTTAACGTGCACAGCCGTTAGCAAAAAGGACCTTGGTTTATTGTCCCATCCGAACGACTAGACGGCGTAGACGCTTTTCCTTGTCAGCCCTTCCAACACCCAGGTAAGTAAGATAAAACAAGTGGTAGGAGTTGTGAGAAAACTACAATAACCAGGCCCATGGTAAATAAGATAAAAAAAAGTGGTAGGGGTTGCGGGCAAACTACTATAACCAGGCCCGTGGTAAATAAGATAAAACAAGTGGTAGGGGTTGTGAGCAAACTACTATAACCAGGCCCGTGGTAAATAAGATAAAACAAGTGGTAGGGGTTGTGAACAAACTACTATAACCATGCCCGTGGTAAATAAGATAAAACAAGTGGTAGGGGTTGCGGGCAAACTACTATAACCAGGCCCATGGTAAATAAGATAAAACAAGTAGTAGGGGTTGTGAGCAAACTACTATAACCAGGCCCGTGGTAAATAAGATAAAACAAGTGGTAGGGGTTGTGAACAAACTACTATAACCATGCCCGTGGTAAATAAGATAAAACAAGTGGTAGGGGTTGCGGGCAAACTACTATAACCAGGCCCGTGGTAAATAAGATAAATTAAGTGGTAGGGGTTGCGAGCAAACTACTATAACCAGGCCCGTGGTAAATAAGATAAAACAAGTGGTAGGGGTTGTGAGCAAACTACTATAACCAGGCCCGTGGTAAATAAGATAAAACAAGTGGTAGGGGTTGTGAACAAACTACTATAACCATGCCCGTGGTAAATAAGATAAAAGAAGTGGTAGGGGTTGCGGGCAAACTACTATAACCAGGCCCATGGTAAATAAGATAAAACAAGTAGTAGGGGTTGTGAGCAAACTACTATAACCAGGCCCGTGGTAAATAAGATAAAACAAGTGGTAGGGGTTGTTAGCTAACTACTATAACCAGGCCCGTGGTAAATAAGATAAAACAAGTGGTAGGGGTTGCGGGCAAACTACTATACACAGGCCCGTGGTAAATAAGATAAAACAAGTGGTAGTGGTTGCGAGCAAACTACTATAACCAGGCCCGTGGTAAATAAGATAAAACAAGTGGTAGGGGTTGTTAGCTAACTACTATACACAGACCCGTGGTAAATAAGATAAAACAAGTGGTAGTGGTTGTGAGCAAACTACTATAACCAGGCCCGTGGTAAATAAGATAAAACAAGCGGTAGGGGTTGTTAGCTAACTACTATACACAGACCCGTGGTAAATAAGATAAAACAAGTGGTAGGGGTTGTGAGCAAACTACTATAACCAGGCCCGTGGTAAATAAGATAAAACAAGTGGTAGGGGTTGTTAGCTAACTACTATAACCAGGCCCGTGGTAAATAAGATAAAACAAGCGGTAGGGGTTGTTAGCTAACTACTATACACAGACCCGTGGTAAATAAGATAAAACAAGTGGTAGGGGTTGTGAGCAAACTACTATAACCAGGCCCGTGGTAAATAAGATAAAACAAGTGGTAGGGGTTGTTAGCTAACTACTATAACCAGGCCCGTGGTAAATAAGATAAAACAAGTGGTAGGGGTTGTTAGCTAACTACTATAACCAGGCCCGTGGTAAATAAGATAAGGCTACTGATCGGATTTAATTGATGTTATTGAAATTCGGTATTTATTATAGTTTGTAGATGTCACTTATGCAGTCAAAATAAGGGCCAGGGGTCGCAAACAAGGCTATATTTCATTATTCAAGGAAAGTAGCTTATGGTAAAAAATCTGTATCTGATAGTTTAATTTACTTCAATACGATTGGCCGAAAACGATTAACACTGCTTCCGAATGTTGAACGATTAGCTAAGCACATAATTATATGAAGAAACTCAATAGTCTACATTTAGTCGTTAGTCTGACTGTTGGATAGATAAGTTCAACAATCATTTGCGGTCAAATATTAAACTTTGAGCTATTCATTTGTAAAAATGATTTCTTAAGAATACTTACAAAACAAATTAATAGTGGGTACCTTATTTCAGTCTTGGCGTGATGTTGATGATATCATTAAAGAATTTCGTCACCATAATATCGTATATTCTGTTCACCATGGCACAAAACTTGGTTTCAGTAGTCCTTGCCAGTATTATAGAGGTTGAACTAAGGTGCAAATTTGGCATAAGTCAGATCAAATCAAAGGTACTACGGAGCTTAAAGATGCAATTCTAGATTTCGTTTGAGATATCAGACAAAAGACGAGAATCTGAAAGTAGTATACTCTTGTTTTGACCACAAGGACCCAGACGGGAATTCTCACGATATGACTCGCGATACCTTTGGGCATTTACCTGAAATTAGTAAATTTACTGACAAACAAAAGGAGTATGTTAAGTCTGTGAAATCTCTTGGCACATCGCGAAGTAAGATAGCAACTGTACTCAGAACAAATGACGAATTGCGAAAGGACGACCAACACATAACAAGTAGGGACGTAGGAATAAAACACCAACTGGCACCGTCACTGCTTATTTACCACGGATCCGTGTATAAAAAATATTTTTTTGAAACTTATTAGCATTGATTTTGAAATTTCATTAAAAGTATTCATAGTGTAAATCTTCGCGTATCCATGTATTCTCCACTGTTAATGATTCTAAATGCACATCTAAAAGGCATACAATATTACATAGGCTGGGCTTTTTCACCTGGTGTTTATTACAATATGGGAGACAGTTGAATTATCGCTTTGATTAGAAAACACACAATTACAGTTACATTTTGCTTGGAAAGGTATCTGGCATCTGGAAACAGTTCTACATGAGAACAATACATAGTTTAGTATGGTGAAGTACTCTGTTTTGAAGGATCAAGTTCATATATGCCACCATTGCAAGGGAATAAAAAATGGAAAGTGGGGGCCAAAGCCAGGCCAGTCACTTGTCTGGGTGGGGCCATAGAAACGTTACTGTGCACATTATATCTGTCCAGTAGATTAGCATGAAAAAAAAAACAACAAATCTAATGGATTGAGAGATAAAACTGGTTCGATTATACACAGAGACATAACATACAAAAACAACAGAATAAATTAAATATATATAAAATAATTCTTTTAAAATCAATACAATAAGTTTAAACTAGAGTCCTATAAGGAATCTAAAGCCTGAAGGTTGGTATCGCGGGGGTACGGCACAAGGTTGTCTATATAGTAGAAAATAGTAGAAGCGAACTGTGTACATACCTTGTGTGTTCATTTCTGCTATTATCTACTGTATCGATAATCCTGCACCAGACACCTTACCGGAGGCCTTATTCTTGAAAACTAAACTTAAGATGATTTGAGTGTTCCAGTCATCTGATTGGCCAACAATTGAAATTGATTTTAAATTTAATTTTGTTAACCAATCAGATTCGAGTATTTCTTCAAATCTGGATTTTATTTAAGTTAAGTTTTGGAGTTTAAAGCCTCCGGTCTATTCTTGGCTAAATTCTGTATTTCTATAGCCAGCAAGACATTCCACTATAAATTTGGGATAGTCAAGTGTAAGCTGTATCGTCTATAAAATTCAAAATTTGCCTTGGTTTTGATTGATTATGAGAATTATTGTCTTTAAATACCTGCACCGGTCAAACTTAATTTAAAGATAAACCTATTATAACTTAATTACCAGAGAATAAATAAAACTAACTATGTAGAGCTATTACACTCCAACTTATGAAATCTTTGTGTTTAAATTCCTTAAAGGGATTTTTAAGAGGTTTTCTAGTAGAATAGCAAGAACCACAAACATCTGATTGAAAATCTAAATGGTTCAAACTGATACTATCAGTATCCCAGATACATATACAAAATTTAGAAAACCTCTTTACAATCCCTCTAAGATTCATATACCAACACTGGCCTCTCCAACATCCCTTCTGCTGGCAGTGACAGAAACATATCTCATAGTCTCACAAAGATAATACAAAAATTTGAAAAGTAATAATGAAGCAGCTTATTCAATAGCGAACTATCGTGCAAGAATTTTTTATAATTTGGTAAACAAAAATAGGGCTGATTTTAAATTATAAAATTACCTATAACAAACATGCAAGAATGAGCTTTCCTGAAAGTGACAAGGTACCGAAACAGATTCAATCTTGGCATCACATTTCTAACTAACAAAATATACTATATATAAACCTAATATTTCTTTATCATTTGATCACATTTATTCTTAACAAAATGAGGTATTTTTTTTTTATTATTTTAACATCTCTATGTTGAATTCTATTTTACAGTCAGAGTTCGTTGTTTTACTTAATAAGGCTGACCAGAACTCATCGACAAAAAATAAGGGCTTGTTATAGGGATAACATTAGGAAGTTTAGGGCCACTGGACATCCTGCTAAGTAATAATAAAAATTGGATATTATCTACAATGCTACAACAACTAATATAGACTTCAGTTTGTTGATAAAGGACCTTATTCAGGAATATTGAACTGAGATAAAACTTTGAGACATAAAGTAATTATATAAAACTAGATTTCAAATTGATATTAGTTATTGACTAGTCAAATACTTAATCATTTTTGAGGAATAGGGTCAATACCTTTACTGTTTCTTATACCCATAGGCAGAGGTTTGATCTTTGTTAAATTATGCTATAAACAGAATGTAATTGTCGTTGTGCAGATAACCCTGTATACTATATTACCAAAGAGGTCAAATAAAAGACTGACTTGTCTTTTCCTTTGTAAAGAAATCATATGTATCTTATTCATTTCATACAGGGGTTTTCAACCTGCAGTAATTACCCCTAGGAGGTAGTTTTGAAATTTGTTGGCGCCTTGTAGTCGAGCATAAAATGGGACAATTATAATATAATTTATGTCATTCTATTCAGATACATTCTCTGACATACAGAGATTGATGGGAAAACCCAAGGAGGAAATCACGAAATAAGGTTTTGAAGTGGGCGGGGGTAATGCAATGGATAAAGGATCCCAAAAGGGGTAATAAAAAGAAAAAGGTTGAAAACTCCTTCATTGTATTACGATATTGATATCTGTTCATTAAAATAACATCCATGAGTGTAATTTGTATACCTATAATTCACGTGACATCATAAATTTTCATTTTTCTTTTTCACGCTCCATTTTTTCACGTGTTCAAGAAGTGGTAAACCTACTATACAATGAAGAATTGAATGACCAAGGCGAGGTGTCAGTCCTTTGATAAACATATTCATTCCTTCTTCTCTCCATATTATCCTTAACATTTTCCACGCACTTTGTTGATGCATCTAAAATAAAGAAAAACAAGGTTTTTTGGTGAACAACAAGCATATTTTTTAACCTTCAGTCTGCAAATTAAAAAAGGCAGTGGCAGCGCAGGCCTCTCGAGACTGGGTGTACAAATAGGGGACAGACTGACCCAATGGGAGGCAACTGTCGAGAATGAAATCAAAATGCGACAACTCCATGGAGTTGCAAGGCTCTGATTGAGCGTCTGAATTAAATCAAAAAATAGTAAATGGGGGAATATTAAAAATAAATCTGACCTGTGATTGATTTCTTGTGAGTTCAATAGGATTAGAAACAAGATTAGATACACAACATGCCATCCCTGCCGATAAACTAACAGCACATATAGTATATAAAGTCCATTTCTCATGAGGATCAATTGATAACTTTTCAAATATTCCACCTGAAAAACAAAAGCAATTGTCAACTTAACGGATAAGAAAAATGAAAGAAAAGAAAGAAAAAAATAACTATGTTTTACGAGGATAACAACTTAGTTTGACAAGGCTAGTTGCTTTCACCAGTTACTTAGTCAAAAGTGATTATCCATTTCATTTACAATGAAATTATAAGGAAAGATGAAATAAGATCACCAGACTTTCACATAAGGACGTTTCTAGTAGCTTCTCCTGATTTTCTCATGAATTCTACCACTTTGGTGATAAAATTAGTCAGGATTATTAGATTGATTGCAGGCTCTTGATGTTAACACTTTTTCTTCCCATGGCTTCTAATTTATCATCGGCAACCTTCATATTTTTCTACCCGCTTGATGCAGATCTGTAAGGCCGTCATGACAAAAGTGTATGTAGTGGTGCAGATGGGACAATAAACAGAGGCCCTGTGTGCTGCAGTCTATGCACTTTAAAGATCCCTCGACAGTTGGAAATTAAAAAAAAAGAGTAGGTTTGTGCCGCTGTAGGACGTAAAACTCCATTCATTTCATTTCTATTTCATTAATATTGACAGAACGTCACGAGCCTGTGGATTGACTTACCTTTCAGAGAAAAATAAAATGGCCAAAATACACCACTAAATAAACTAAGAGTACATGTAGCACCAAAACCTTTGTAAAAGGCTCGCACACCACCAACAGTCCACAAGTCCTTTATAACATGTACAACAATCTTTTCATTTGGTTGCAGGTGACGAATTTTGTGTAGTAACCTTATATTTGTACCCTTACTACCATCGGATTTAGCATCTTGGAGATACTGAGAAACTACATCAGTAGGGACACTAAGAATTAAAGTTGAAGTTGCACACATAGCTCCTATCATTGGAGCAATTTTATGTTTAATAGTATTTTGAGAAAATATTTTTGATCCTTCGAAATATAACTCTATACGTTCTCGAGTAAATTCAAGAACTCCAATGTACATAACATTCTGAATAACACTAAAACTGTTCACTGAAAATCCATCATAGAATCCTCTTAAACCATTTCTACCATAAATTTTAGATACAGCATCCAACATTCCACGATAACCTTTCACTTGAGGTGTTTTTATGTGCTGCATGGTACCCTGATTTGATTTAACCATTTGAATTTTATATGCTGTTTGTAATGGTTTTGTATCCTGATTTTGTAAACGAGTTCGTACCAAATTAAATGGATAAAATGCAGTTCGTATAGACAGTGATAAAGGTGTTGCCAGGCCCATGAATTTCAAAGAATTCATTTGACTCCAGTTTATGTTCACATTTGCAACAACTATTGCATCTGTGTCTATCTCCATGTTGAAGAGGTGAAGTTATAACCTGTAATAATACAGGTCACATGAAGTTTATGATCAACTAATCTTTTTCTTTAGAAGAACCTGAAATGATTCAGAAAAACATAATCCATAGGCTGACTTTATATGGTAAGTATATAATATTATAGACATAGATGCTGCTGTTGTGGGCACACTTTCTCACTGACGCCCATGAAAAATTAGTAGGCCAATGCTGTGTCTGGCCAAATTGGCTTCATTGCACACTGCATCTTTTCATTACCTTAATCAAAACCAGGAATCTATGGCGGTGTAGACATAGATAGAGGCCACTGGCACTAATGCTGTGTGTGGCCAAATGTGCTTCATTGTTCACTGCATATTTTTGTTACCTCAATCAGAAACATGAGCACAAAAGTAAGACGTAAAGCTCCATTTCATTTCAATTCTGTGTTCGAACGGTCAGTCAAAGTTCAGTGTTGTGACATTGAAATTGAATTACTGAATAACTCATTAACTGTCGTTGTTACCGAAGATCACCTGTAACGTTTCCAAACTCTCTTATTTTTACACCAAACGACAGGACAGCTCATTTTTATTGTAGATATGTTTGCCCTTAAGATAATAGAACAGTAATGTCACCTTGTGTCTTGTTAAATTGACGTTAATTCCATCGCAGGTCATTGACATTGGTATGATTTTGTTTATGAAAACAAAAATGTGTTTTCGTTTTGATTGACCTAGCAGAATGTGGTAAGATTTATAAATGTTTGGTTCTTTAGCATCATACAACTTTAAAATCCTTACGTAAAATCAATTAAAAATGTCAAATATATTTGATTTTTTTCCAAATAAGAATAAGTAATTCAATTTAAGGGTCTTTGGACTCGAATGACACTCAAACTGGATTCAGTTATGTTCACAATACGAACACATTCCAGTTAGATGGTACCACGTAAATAAGGACATAGATTAATAACTTTTTCTTTGCTGCTAAACTTCATAAATCTTTGCTGTGAAACAATAATAAAAAGTCATATTAAAGTTTATTTTATCCATATCCATTACAATTTTGCTACATTTTCCAAATATTTCCATAAGAAGGTTTTTTTCCTAACCGTGTCCAATTTTGACGCGGAATCTATAGTCGCTATTGTCAAGTATTTTGGTCTGGGTGATCGAGATTTGTTTACAGAATCTTGCAACACATGTGATCATAGTTTCATTATATGGACTGAAAATCTAAAGCTGACAGATCTTTTATTCAGATTACATCGAAGTTTACTTATTCTTCATAAATATTGGTAAGTTAAATTATCTATTCTTTGGTCAGTGTGTGTCGATTTATTGATTATATCTATCCGAAACTAGCCATGCGTCACCACAGTATGTCCCTGTCACTCCACTGGAACGGATAGTGCGAAATATCTTGTGACTTACCCAGACTCTGTAGGATTTGTGCTTGAATTTTTACTATCCTTCCTGAGTCCCATATTCATATTACTTTTATATTGTAGTGTAATCAAGGTCACCAGTCACCAGTCTTTCGCATCTAGGCCCACTGACCAAGATAAGAACACCTTCCATGCAGACTACTTCATTTGTCTGATTACAGAACCCTTCTTAGTCTTAGTCACTAACTGACCAAAACCAGAACCCATGACCACCATTTCATTTATTTGATTACAGAATCCTTCAAATAAGCCAAGGCCTATGTTTTATTTAGAAACAATATTCAATGATTACTATATTTCCAGCTATCAAGTATACAGACGTTAATGTTATAAAATGTCGAAAACCACCAAAAAGAAACATGTAACAAAGGAGGTTATGGATGATTTTGTTTTACCAGAAGAGAAGGAACAGATTGTTATGGTAAGAAAAATTGGTGGGCTATTGATCACCATGTTAATTACACAGGCAGTTGTGGAAACGATAGCCCTTAGTTGGTGAATCATTTGGGATTTTGTCTGTCGACGGATATTATATAATACATATCAGGCAACTGGCAAAATCTCAAATGCTTCACCAAAGGCTATCCTGTCAACAAGTACCTGTGGTTAATTATACAACATCTCAACAATTGTCAATTTTTTATTTTTAATTCTGAATTCTGAATTCAACTGCAGATTTAGGAGGAGTTTTATGAGACTTATTACTTTTTTAATTTTATCCATAGCACTTTCTATATTTATTTTTTGTTAAGAGTGAGTATCTTCATAGATAGGGTGTAATTAATATAGTTAGTACTTAGGTTTGAACATAAGAAACTAATGCGGTAATTGTTAGTTGTATAGAATTGTATTTTGACCAAAGGGAAATGTAAAAGCTTAATCCAATTGTTGGCAGCCATTTAAATTGTCATCTTCCTTCCTAACTATGTCTTTTGTTTAAGCCTTTAAACCCTGAGTGTAAATGAAATATAATGTCATATACCCTGAACTTCCAAGTGTATGACGTTTACGTTGTATGGCGTCACTTAGTAACAGCCGGGTATATATTGCGTTAGTGTGTGGATGGTAAACCAGCCTCTAGGGTTAAATCCTTGATATTCCATTAACGTTTGTTTCACATCTTTCTCAGTTAATGTGTCAGTATTGAAATACAGTTTGTATGAGTCTGTCAATTTTCTATACATGAGATACTAACGTTTAGAATTTAATGCCAGAAATGTGTCATATTTGTTAAGAAATTGTCATTATTTTATAAAAAGGTGACAGCTGGAAGGGGAAATAATTTACATGAAGTTCAAGATCCTTCTGGAAATAGATTTCTGGTATCCATGCCAACCAAGTTTAGAAAAAATGTATGGATCAAAAGAGGTAGGGATGGTTATTTAAACCATGTTTTTGGTGTTTTAGACAAAATTTATTCTTATACGAATGTATGTATGGATATTACATAGACAAAATTTATGAGGGTTATTAATGATGGTTATTATTTTATCATCAGTATTATTGGAGAAAACCCCTCTCAATTTATGTCACTGTGACATTTATAAGTTTTGAAATTCCACCTAGATAATGATGTCATTTTGCTGTTTGCTGTAAAATGGGAGAACCCAAGAAAGAACAATGCCAAGAGGTTTGATCAAATACCAACTGGTAGAAAAGATCCTTAGTGAATCCAAGATGTTATCCTTGTAAAATATTTTCATGTTAACAGTAGATTTATTATTATTCCAGGTGATTTTATTATTGTGAACCCTATAGAGGAAGGAGATAGAGTGAAGGCTGAAATAGTTAGTATATTATATAAAGATCAGATTAAATATATCAAAGATGAAGGCAAATGGTAGGTTTTCAACAGACATTTTCTTTATTATTTTAAGCTCTGGGACAAAAGCTCAGAATTAATTATAGGTGTGCTGAAAGCTTTCTGTAACAGACTGTGCTTTAAGGGATTCTAAAGAGGTTGAATCTTTGGTATGTGCCAGTTTTAAGACTGAATATGGAGCAAATTCTCTTATATCTGGAACTGCAAGAAACCAAAAACAATCATCATTTACAAGGATATTAAATAAGTTCCCAAAGATCCAGTTTGATAGCTGGTACTTGGCCACTTTTTATTGAAAATTACTTATTCAGACGGTCACAAACATACCAAACTTAACATCTTTGACAAGACACATGGCATTTGACAGGATATAAAAACTTTTACATTGACTGTCTCTTTTTTTTTCAAGGCCCAAGGAGTTTACTGATGAGAAAGAAGAGAATAAGGATGACATGTTACCACCTAGTGATTCTAATGACTCTGATGATGATCTTGGGGATCTGGTCCATAATCTGAATAGACCACCTCAGATATACTGTGAGGAAGACTCAGATTCTGAAGAGGAAAGTGACAATGAAACAACTGAAACTGGTCCTGGCTGAAATATAAACTCATTGTTGATCATTTTGGGACTTGTGACATCACAGATCTCAGTGTTGATCATTTTGTTACTTGTGACATCACAGATATCAGTGTTGATCATTTTGGGACTTGTGACATCACAGATATCAGTGTTGATTATTTTGGGACTTGTGACATCACAGATATCAGTGTTGATTATTTTGGGACTTGTGACATCACAGATCTCAGTGTTGATCATTTTGGGACTTGTGACATCACAGATATCAGTGTTGATTATTTTGGGAATAATGACATCACAAATCCTGTATTTTGAAAAGATAATTTTTGTGGACCAAAATTTATGAAAGCTGGAATCAACAAGCTCAAATCTAACCTATTTATAGCTTCCATTGAAATAGGGATTTTTGTGTCTGATAAAAAAAATTTAGTTAATAATATCTGTTTTGTATATTAATTACTTCTTTGCCTCTATGTTTCTTCATAGCTTTAGTGATAATATAGTAAAGTAGTAATTCAACCATCTTTCAAAGTATACCAACATGATTATATTCATTCAATAATCATATTTCCTCCTTTAGTCCATTTACATGATCGTTAGTATTAAAGGGAGATAACAACGTATAGCTTGATCGAAACTTCCAAAGGTGTATTTGCAAAAACACTCATTATATGTCAAAAACCCATGCGTATCTTTGCCTTTAATACAAGTTTAGAACAAGACATTTTCAGCAAACAGATTTTTATTGCATTATCATCAGCATTAAAGGGAGATAACAATGTTTAGCTTGATGGAAATTTCAAAGGTGTCTTTGAATGAATTATGCTGCAGCCTCCCTTGGCCAATTAAAAACACGCAGCATCCCTGATTTGCCTTTTGTTTTGGTATTACATTTCTTATTCATATCATAAACGACATTATCAGACTTGACTCTCCAGCCAATCAACTGAGCTGTGCTTCGTGGAAAATCTTTAGGTCGTGTAGGAATATGGCTTTGAACTATTGGAGGAAATTTGATTTTTCCGCGATCTTCAAACTTAGTAGGTGGCATTGGTGGAAGAGGTTCCTTTCCTTCTAATATTAAATTCAGCTGAAATTACAGGAAAAAGAGTTTTACATATCATTGCCAAGGCCGTAGCTGAATCCAAGTTAAAATCAGGCATAGAGGGTACTAGATGAATAGGTTCAGAGTTACTCTGACGAAGTGTCAGACTCCAGACCCTTGATTCAACAGTAACACTAAAGACTTTCAATCGGACCGAAAGGGTTTATGTGTGCGTGGCAAAGTCATTTATGAGGTTTATAGTCATTATATTAACAAATCAATCTAAATGAGGAATAAACACCCAGTTGGGTCAAGGATTAAAATAAATGTCGTATGCATCGTTCACCCTTAGATGACATGTAGCTTAATACACGCATTCCCTTAGACCGTATATATATGAAAATCGTGTCGGTAGAGAGGCATTACACGCTTTTTGCGTTTCCAACTAGATGTATAGATTCGACAATCCTCGGCAGTTTTCGTAAAGCTGAAAATGTTGCAGAGCGCAAGAAGAACTTTTACTAGTTTCACGGTAGACCGTTAAACTGTCGCTGGATCTCTGAAGCTTAGCATAAGGACCTTGGGTTATTGTCTCATCCGAACGATATGAGGCTATTGTCACCCTCTTTAACCGGTATTACTGAAAATGGAAAGCGGGTTAAGGACGAATATAGAATGACGACATTATTAAAAGACCTGTGAGACATAGAGAGGAATATAATTTCCCTGGTGTATAGTGGTGTATAGTAATTCAAGATGGTTATTAACTCTCAGTGATTACTAATTATCTCTTCCTATCTTTTATAACCCAATACATTATATAAACCCGCCAGCGTTATTTAGAGGTAGAAATCGCATTCAATAACGGACCCAAAAATTTTTATATACAGGAACAAAAATTCATGATATATAGTAGCAGTAGCATTCGGCAAACCTCGGCAGTTTCCGTAAAGCTGAAAATGTTGCAGAGCGCTATTGTAACTTTCACGTTAGGCCTTTTGATACAGTAGAACCCTAGTTAACCTGTTAAATTTTCCACGACGTTTCAACAATTTTACGTTGTCATCGTTAGGTGATCTGTTATCTGATGGATTTAGATATATCTTCTAGCATTTTTTAACAGCTCTCTCTACCCTTAGTCGAGATATACCGCAAGTTTAAGCTAACCTGTCCGTGATGGTTGTCTAAGCGGCTGACATGGGAATAACCGTTCTGACGGGACTGTGCCGTGTGTATGTTAACGATTCCTCAACAGAAAATTTCCCTCATTGCACATTGCAAGGTATTGTCGATTTTTATTTTCTTACTTACTCTGGGTCGAGAGTAGAAATAAAGCTCCAAATCATTTCATATCGTAATAACAAAACCTGAACCGCCTTTTCATTTTGTGGAATGTTAGAAATGAACCTGATGTACAAGAACATGTAATTTCTCAAATTCCAGAAACCGCCTAATTCAATTTATTTTAAAATATCTTGGCAGCACGCCTTCAAAAAAACAATGAATGGCGTTCTATATTATATTACACCAGACAAAAACAAACAAAAGGCAACATTTTAATTTAGAATCATTGTGAGAAAAAACACATCCATTTAGTTTTTCAATTTTCCACTCGAGTTCAATTTGACTACAGTATAATTTGATATGAGAAGATCTAAGAATCAAGTTTGTTTGATGACGTTTGAACTTAAAGGGATTATAAAGATATTTTTTATGTTTTTTATGTGTATCGGGGACACTGATAGCATCAATTTGCACAATTCCAATTTTCAATAAGAAGTCTGTCATTCTCACCATTACACATAAACTAAGCGTTTTATGACGTCACTACCTCAAATTAAAGCTCTTTGATATCATTAGGATTTTGCGATGGTGACGTCATAAGACGCTTGGTGGAATGGCAGAAACCACAGACATCTAACTGAAGATTTGAATGATGCAAATTGATGCTATCAGTGTCGGCGGTTCACATAAAAAAAAGTAAAGAAAGCCTCTTTATAATTCCTTTAATCTATAGACGTCAGCACTTCAATAATTGAAATTTTTTCCTGATATGAAATCTGTAGGTTTTAATGGCAAAATATCGTGACTAAGTCTATTAAAGCTTTTGTACATTATTTTTCATGTTTATTTTTCATATTGATTTGTTGACAAGAAAATCTATGGACATTAAAAATGGATAGACGATGATTAGAATAACGAAGGTCCTCAAATTGAAAGACAACACAAATATAGTCTTTAATGAAATTTTATTTGACTTTCAGAAAATCATTAATGATGTGAAAGGACCCGTATTAAAGTAAACTAATTTCTTTCTTCCAATTATACTGAATCAAAGAGCGAGCTCGTTTCTAGAATTCTCCAACATTATTAATGTCCGTTTTTTAGTTGTAATTCGCTTCGTTTTGTTTATTTTCGTCCCTCAAACGAGAGAAAGCAAATAAACGAAGCTTATCTTTCCGCACGACTTGAAACAATTCACATAACACGACTTTCAGCTTTTCTAATGTTTTTTTGTGATTTATAATGAAAGAATGATGACAAAATAGTCAGTTTCCAGCACGAATTATCACAATTATCTCGGTTACTAAACAATCTACACGTTTAAAAGGATTGTAAAGAAGTTTTCTACAGAAAAAAATATGTGTATTGTGGACACTGATAGCATTGATTTACACTATTCCAATAATCATGTAAATAAATTAATAATTTGTTTTAAAAAATCATAATTGACATCTAAGAGAGAACTGAATGCCCTGATTTTAATCTGAAAATGTGATAGATAATCGATATTGGATCTTTTCGGGACGTACATCAAAATATATGCATATAACCCCAGAAGTGGAAAAATATCTCTGCATAATCCCTGGTTGACAACCGTAGCCGACTGATCTCCTGGTCTCTTTGTTACGGGGAACTGCCATACTACAAATTAAAAACGGGACCAACCGACTTTTATTCCTTGGCAATAAGGACAAAGATGATCAAGTAACGGCAGACAGCCCCCCCCCCCCCCCTATCATTTTACATAGTGAAAGAATGGCCTGTGGCCCCTGCTCGACCCTCACACCTGATGTTTTCTAGAAACGCCACTGACAGCGGATGAAGTGGAATGGTTGAATCTTGAGCAAACTTTCCAAATTATATTGAACTGTTCATATCAACTGTAAAGACCGTATAGCCCGACAAATCTGGCTAATTCAAGATGATTTCCGAGGATTCCCATTTTCGCGTGTGATATCCTATTTAAGTAATAAATGACCATACCAATATAAAAGTGTTATAAATTCGGGAATTAAGACAGAAACATGTCTTGTAAGAGTTTAAGATATAGTGGAAATGTTATTTAATAAAGTTTGGTAATTACTATACAGTCTAGACTCGATCGATACCGTCTTAATTAGTAACTGTAAACATCTTTAACTTTGATGGTGTTTTAAAACCAGTTGATTACCTTTCAAATATGATTCATATTCTGACAAATCTGTCAATTTTTTAACCTATTTCCTATTATTTCATTAGTTCTGATATACATGTATAGGTCCAAACCGCTGCAGTTTCCATAAAGCGGTTGCAGAGCGCTGACGTAACTTTCAACGTTTGGTGTGGGCCTACCAACTTTGACTGGGGTTAATGTCTAAATTCTAAGACAGTAAAATTGATATTCGTTCATGCAGATAATTCTCATTACTTCATCATAACTGTTATAATATTTGCATTATGATACCCCTTCTTTAATAACATTTAGCTATGTATACACAGATAAACCCCTACCAAGTTCCCCAGAAGTGATATACGGATATAATTTCGTCATATCCAGTCACATTCCTATATCACAGTCTGAAGAACTAGGGCTTTATTTATTTGGCTAATTCAGAAACGGTTGTAGTTTGAGTATGATATGTATCTGGAAAAATCCATATACTCACCGATTCGTATTCGCGCACAAGGTAACCCCACCTGTCAGGCCATACTCTTAGCTGGGAAAACGTTTCATGATGAACGTGATCTTTCCTGAAAGAAATGATACCATAGAAAATTTAAGTTGTTTTGGGCTTTGACTGATACTCAAATTCACTCACACTTGCCGTTTTGTTTGCTTCTGATGTTCCCAAAAATGTCTTCTCACACTCGCTTCTTCTCCCCGATCCCAATACTTTCTGCTTCGCGTTTCTTCTTACATATCCTAATTGGTAAAATCTTGGACAATGAGATATGAAATTATTCACTGAGCCCAAAGAAATATTAGAGCTGCTTTTGTTAACAAATCCTTCCCCAACGTAACAAACTTGCATCTCAGCAGTGAGACCCGGTAACACTGTTAACAAGTCTAGCGACTGTAATAGATTCATGAAAAGAAATATTACTCTACTAGAGTGATTTGATTCGAGAAGCAGTCAATTGTATATTACTATGATTACTTGTCAAAGGAATAATGAAATTGTCAACTCTGTTTTCATACATATACATTATATTCAGACATTATTCGTCACCTTATAATGCACCAGACATAATCTGAAAATCGATATTCTTCAGAAATTTTTAAGGCTCTATTGAAATGTATTAAGACATGTATTAGGCTATATTAGAAATTTATAAGGCTCTATCAGAAATTTATAAGTCTACATTAGAAATTTATAAGTCTATATTAGAAATTTATAAGTCTATATTAGAAATTTATAAGTCTATATTAGAAATTTATAAGGCTATATTGAGACATTTACTAGGCTTTATCAATGCAATGGGTTTCTGCCTTGGTTCCCATACTTGCGTTATTACTACCCCATATAAAGGGCAATCGAGAAATCAGTAGAATCTCAACAGTCAGCCCGCCCCCCACCCCCAACCTCAATTATATCAGTCTGTCCCCCAGAGGCTGGCACCGCCACTGCGACAAACGTCTTGTCTTAAATGTGCTTTTCAAAAAGGAAAGTAATGTCAATTATAAGGAACCAGGATCGAATGAATTGTCTAAATTTGCATTTAAATTTTTGATTCTCTGAGCTCATGATTGGTAAAAGGGGGGGGGGGGGGGGGGGGGGGGCGCAGAAGACAGGTTTTCCACTCTGAGGCGCCAATCGTCCAAAAGGTAACCAATAAGGCTATAGTATATCACGTTATGTTCAGTGGAGAAAAGCTTTGCTGCATATTCATCTCAATCTGATTTTGATGTGGCTGTTAACTTAACAAAACAACATCCTCTATCAATTTAATTCAATCCATTCCATCAGTAAAAGAAATATATTTACCAGATCTCGTCATTATGGACAAAATTGACCGGCATCTTCATTATTGCTATCTTTATCAAGTACCACTTAACAAGATAGATAACGTCACAATCACTTGCTCATAATCAGATAATGTCACGAACGCGTCACAAAGAGGATAACGTCACACAATCTAATAGAATAACATTGCCTTTCGTTCAACTGCCAATAACCAAAGAGCTATCTTTTCTATAGTGTAGTATAGATGGTTAGTAACGAATGTGGCAGAAATGGTCCCACAGTCTTTCACAGTCACTTTATGATTCTTTGAGAGTCTACGTGTCCGTATATAGGCTAGGTAAAAGATTGGTTATACTTTTTAAGAGGATTTGTTTCAACGTCATTGTGACTGCATTGTGAATCGCACATTGAGCCTTGTCGAATTACACCATTCCAGTCCTTTTATTTGGCCCAGGAGCCTGTAGTGGGAGTCTGATATGTAGCTTTTGTTACAAAATTAATATCAAATATTGCCGTTCTCCTACATTGTAATAATGATGAATCTAATGCCATTAAAAACAACAAGAGTAGCCTATTGTCGGGTTCGACGAGCATCTGGGGAAAGACGACAACGGATGATTTATAATATAAAATATATTTTCATTATGATACGAGAATGCCACGACGATTTATCATTATCAAGTATATTCTAAACTACTCTGTGTAAAATCTGGAAGCAACGGGTCAGGCCACATTGTCAGAATGCTAACAGAGGGGGGAGGGGGGATTAGCAATGGTCATCCCTGGTCCAACCAATGGTCTTCAGAGTCCTCCAGTAAATCAAAAAGCCATTAGAAAATGGCTGTTTGAACAAAGTGTCTGTAGAAAATAACTGTATTTTGAATACACGAAACTGCTCATTTTAAAATGTGTGTTAGACAAAAGGGAACCATATCTCCAAATCTATACCGGGATATCTAAAATGGATGTTTTATTTTACAGCATTTAAATGCAATAAATTCGATTCTGATGTAAACGCCAAACACATCAAAAACACCTAAACTGACGAAAATCGATCATTTCTAGAATGATCGTGGCAAAACAAATTTGAATATCTGACATTTCGACTGCGATCTATCAGACGTGAAGAGTCAAATATCTAAACTATTAAAATTAACGACAGTATTGTGCAACCGGAAATAGATTTTTCAGAAGTGAGCAACAGACGTGAATTAGTCGTAATATGATTGGTTAAACTGTCATCACGAGAGCCTCTTGATGAGATTAATGGTTCAATTATCAGAATGTCAGAATTTGGCCATACTTCTTTATCACGCTATTATTTACGGCTATAATTGGAGCTAATCTTATGGTGGCAGTTATCGATTATTACTTCTAATTTGCGATTAAAACAAATAGCAATAATCTTGTGTTCGTTCTCGTAATGTCTTATATCTTTCACGTTAATTTGATCACATTTTAGGAAATACTGATTAGAAATGTGAACAGCAGAGCAAATGGCTCCCGAGAGCCTTAATGCATAAACCGATATGGTGCAAAAAAAAAAACACGTAAATTTTAAGTGGCTAACGTAATACAGTAGCTTGACGGTCATTCAGTAGCTAGCCTGATCGTATTTCAGCAGAAAAATTGTATCAAGTACTACAATGTCATAGTTCGCGATAACCTATCAAATGCGATAGTTCTTGATAACCTACCAGGTACCATAGTTTATTTCATAAGTGCTACATTTCTTGATGACGTACCAGATATCATAGTTCTTGATGACCTACCAGATACCATAGTTCTTGATAACTTACCAGATACCATAGTTCTTGATATCCTACCAGATACCATAGTTCTTGATGACCTACCAGATACCATAGTTCTTGATAACTTACCAGATACCACAGTTCTTGATAACTTACCAGATACCATAGTTCTTGATGACCTACCAGATATCATAGTTCTTGATGACCTACCAGATATCATAGTTCTTGATGGCCTACCAGATACCATAGTTCTTGATAACTTATCAGATATCATAGTTCTTGATAACTTACCAGAAATGTATCAAGTGCTATGGTTCCTGATAACCTTGCGACGTATAAATGTCTAACAAGTGACCTACTAATGTTTGGCAGCAGGTTTTCTGAGCAGTACAACGATATCAAGAAAGATCTTGATCCATCGGTCGTGACATAGATATTGAAAGTATAACACTGTAGATATAAAACAGTAGTCCTAATTGAGACTAATTCAGCCTGGCTACAGACAGACCATCTGAAACGGCGATTTATAGATTCTTATACTCACCAGTCTAAGTCTATCAAAGTCACATTAGGGAATATTTGTGATCTAACGCAGAGATGATTTAATGAGTGTATTATTGATCTCTCTCAAGCCTGGCTCAATTAAATAACATTTATATTCCCCCTTTCTCTCTTCTGTATCAACAACCACTTGTTTTAGTAATGAGATTTTAAAGAGTTCTTCAGACAGCATATACGAGATTAGGCCACCTTTTTACTGAACATTATTCCATAGATTATTCTGACAGCCCAATTTAAGTACAATCACACTGAGATCTTTCTAACCACAAACTGATGTTTATCCAGAAGAATCCGAAGCAAAAAGGGTATGTTTTGAGTTAGAAAGATTGCTGGACCACCAGATCACTGATTTGCAGGTTAACCCGATGGAGTGGACAGATACATCAATAAACTCTTAACTGTATTTTGTAAGCGTAACGGAGGCAAATGAGGCAATTGTCTCGCTGTTGAAACGACAACAAACTTTATGGAGAGCACCAGATTTTCACAAGTCGCAACAAAATCGTTGTGTGAATATTTCAACACTCTAACCAGGCCTTCCTTATCTTATCTAATATAAAGGTACTTGGTTGTTGGCACCATTGTCTGTAACCTACTCTATTTCCATCAAGATTGTAATTTCAGTTGAAAAGCAGGTTTTTAAATTATCTCAGTCTTATTCAAGAGGCCACTTGTAATTGATGAGTTTTAAAATATTTAACAGTACTTGATTGCCTTAAGATTATTTTACATTTCATCTTTTTCTTCTACCATTTTGATAAGGAGAATTTCTAGTAGAATGATATACATGTTTTGACAATTGGGAAGCAATCTTACACTGATCTCCAAGTTGTTCCAAATTTAGGGTGATATCTACCCTTTACTATGGTTGTTTTAATACAGATCTTAGTTGAAGTTATGGTTATCCATCCATTTGAGTTTTCAAGGAACCGGAAGTAAATGCTTACAAATATGGCCTGCCTGAAAAAGATCACCAGGCGATAGTTATTGTTTAGGCACTTCAATTTGCACAAACTGAGATCTAACTGGTCCGATGCAAAATATGAGCACGAACTGTCCGCTTTAAGGTAGTGTAAGTATTGGACTTGTTTTCTTTCAATTTCTCTTCAATCTACTCAAAAATATAACTCCTGTTTTTGTTTTTGAATCGGATTCGGATGTAAATATATATCTTGGCTCGACTATACATACAATTATGAAGATCACAAACACGATAGTACACATGTACTAAAGGCTTCTCAAATGTCTCTTGTCTATGGACGAAACGTTTATTGTTTCAGGCATCGTGAAACATTGATCGAGTGAAATCAAATAATACCTTCTATGTGACGTACAAATATAACAATTTGATAACCAAATTAAATGTGATCTGATCAATCAAAGTAATTAGAGAGGTTTGTTGACTCAATCGGAAACATGAGCCCCACATAACAGTCTCTTTCGACCTGCCAAAACCACTACTCAAGTCAATTACCTAGAATCAGTCGGAAACGAGTGAAGTTTGTCCAGGTCGATTGATGGCGAATTCAGTTCAATAGAAAAGCAATTTGGAGTGGAGAGTAAAATAAACTCCAAACCAAACGACTTAATGCTGATTCTGTTTCAAGTCAAATGGATTGAAAATTGACTTTTCTACGTAATTTAGGGGAGAGAGGCGGAAGATTACCAACCGTCAATTTTTAACCAGAACCAAATACAGTGGTATCGATTTTCTAAATGTTCTAGAAAAATGTCTTCACTTCGGTTTTTTTTTTATAAAGTTAGAAGTCAAGATGTGAGGAATTTGTTGACGTTTCTGCTTAAAAACCAAGTTTCAATTACTGCTTCAAGTTTAGAGAAAATAAGAATATCTTAAGGGATAAAACTTGTTACGGATATAGAGTCCTCTCTATCGATTTTAACGAGTTTCTCACTGCATGACTTTCAATTGTAAAGAACTGAAGGACATTCGGAACTTAATGGCTTCCTATAAGAGAGGCGAAAGTACTTCCTTAATGCGTAAAGAGACTTCCGCTAAGATTTGGTCATGTATTTTAATTCCACTTTCCTGGCTTTATCATTGCATTGCCCTTGAAATTGCAATGCTTCTAGTCTCCGGAGGCCAGACTTCTCCTGTCTACAACGAGGATATGCGTAGACAAAGAATTTAGAAATTCAAAGCTTCTTGCCAACGCTTCCGATCATGAATTTTTGTAATTGTATTTGTATGAAAACAGATTTTGTAAAAAAAAAACGTTTATCGTGAATATTTGCTGTCATATTTCAAAAACCACGAATAAAAACAAAAACCCACTTAATATCTAAATCTGATCTAGTTGTATGATAAGATATTTTCATGTTTCGGCACTATACTCTTCTCAACAAATCATCACAATTATGTAACTCGTCGCAACGAACTATTTCGCAGACATAAATTCCCTCGGGTGAAACTAGTTTTTTTTCTGTGTGAGAAATTGGTCACGCGAACGACATAGTCAATTATTGGGTAATTCAAATTTCGATACCAAAAGCAATCTTTACAACTCCAGACCGTCGTATTCTTTAATTACAGACCAACTTTTTTCACTTACCACAGATGCACTGGAGAATAAATGTTAAAGTCATATAGTCGTCTAAATTTTTGCTTAGCCAGCTATAATCACCATCTATCTGTATTAGTTTGTATGCTAAATAGATGATCTTATAACTTTAAAGAAATGTTTTTTTTTTATCATAAAACCCAGTTTTACAGGGGGCCAATGTACCCCTAGAAAAA